TTGTTGTGTGTAGTGAACTTAATGGTATCCAAGTACAACAAGTACAACAATCCCCTAATAGATGCTTATTCCTGAACACAATGAACAGACGGTCAATGAATCTCTTAAGGATACAAATATCATTTAGACATGGATTCACTGTGCCATTAAATACAAAACGATCCTCAAGCCAAGCCATGAAAAAACAGGCTAGGCTCGGAGCCAAAGGGCTCCCCAATCAATGTTCCCTCTAAGCTGTTGGAGTCTTGTGAGCAAAAATTCTACTTTGTGAGCTACTGGCATTAAAGTACATTGTTGTGTGTAGTGAACTTAATGGTATCATGGATGTTATTTAACCAAGTACAACAATCCCCTAACCGATGCTTATTCCTGAACACAATGAACAGATCGTTAATGAATCTCTTAAGGATACAAATATCATTTAGACATGGATTCACTGTGCCATTAAATACAAAACGATCCTCGAGCCAAGCCATGAAAAAAACAGGCTAGGCTCGGAGCCAAAGGGCTCCCCATGGCCACTCCCCTAATCTGCAAGTAACATTGGTCATCAAACCTAAAAAAAACTTTTAGAAATAATATTAAGCGATTACAATAAGAAACGACCTGTGCTGCTTGGGGTGTGCTGTTGGATCTTTTGTGGTATCGTTGGGTCTTGACTGGCAGCGATTCTGCAGGGTCTGAGTCGAAGGTCCTTCCCTTCCCCCCACTTCCTTCAATTCCCCCACGCTGTTGGGGATTGGGGACTTACACCCCAGTAAAATGTTCTTTAGAAAGACTTACTAGCTGAGAGCCGTGTAGGGCAGGGGGAAGGTGCCCGTTCCCCTGTGCTGTGGTCCAGTGTCTGCTGCCAGCCCAGTGACTTCCCTTGTCATTTCCCACCACCACCAGGCGGTGTGCTGTCCGGATCACCTCCACTGCTGCCCCAGCGGCTTCCGTTGTGGCCCATCGGCGGGCACCTGCGTGAAGGACGGGGAGAGCATCCCTTGGCTGGAGAAGAGACCGGCAATTGTACGCATCACCTCTTCAAGCAGGGATGTCAGGTGTGACGACCAGGTCAGCTGCCCTGATGGGCAGACCTGCTGCCAGCTGGCCTCAGGCGCGTGGGGGTGCTGCCCTTTACCCCAGGTAAGCGTGTTTGGAAAGGGGTGTGTGTGTGTGTGTGTGTTGTGAGATTTTATGATTGAAGGCAAAACAGAAGTGCTTTATGCTCAGAAAGTTGCCCAGATGTTCTACACTGCTGATTTGCATTACGTGGTCCTTCCGTCCAAGGAGACAAATCCCTGTAATGGCAAGAAGTTGACTAGGTAGTGGCTTGCTACTCTTCCGAAGTCAGTGTTCCCTGTTCAGTCAGGCCAGCATGGGGTCTGCGCTTTCTGTGACTTGGCCCTTCTCCCTAACCTCAGGTGGGCGGCGCCTCAGGGGCGGAAGTGGACTCTGCGTGAGTTTAAGTCACCTGCTAGCTTTACCTTCACTTGACATGAGTGTTGAGGGTTCCCCGTGTACCCTGGTCCAAATGACGTCCTTGAAATTTGGTGTAGTGCCAGTTTGGTGTAGTGGTTAAGTGCGCGGACTCTAATCTGGGAGAACCGGGTTTGAGTCCCCACTTCTCCACTTGCACCTGCTGATGTGACCGTGGGTCAGTCATAAGCTGTGGCACAGCTGTCCTTGGAAAAGAGCCGTTTGTGTCAGAGCTCTCTCAGCCCCACCCACCTCACAGGGTGTCTGTGGTGGGGCGGGGAAGGGGGAGGGAAAGGAGACTGTAAGCCACTCTGAGACGCCTTCGGGTAGTGAAGGGCAGGGTATAAATCCAATCTCTTCTTCTTCTTCTGAAAGAAACATACAAATCGCCTTTGGGGGGGAAATAATTGTAAGGAGAATCCCTGTCTCTCTTAAAATAACAAAAGTTCAATATTTGACTGTGCTGAAGCTTGAAGAGGCAGCAGAATAAGAATCATGAAATCACTGCACCTTCCTGGATCTGCTTTTCATCCTCTCGTATGTCTACGAGCATGCGGGCCTAGACTTCCTCTTCCCTCACAGAAGTCGCATTGACTCAACATTCCGTGGCTTCCTCTTTGGCAGTTAACACGTTCATGAGCACTTTGTGGTCTCACAGAGGCTGAGGAACAAAAGAGATTTGACAGAGATGGGCCAGTGGGTGTAAACCCAGATCTGCTGCAAATGCATTGTGTGTGTGTATTGGGAGGGGGGATGAGTCTAGTTTGAGGAGCCTGAGGGACACGGGCAGCCGGACCCCTCTACTTCCTGCAGACTCAGGCGGTCATCCTTCCAGTGTTTGAGCACTGGTTGGAACAGGGGCCAAAGGGGGGGGGA